TCAACATGCAGAAAAATAAGTGAGTAAAGGCAGAACAAGAAGCCAGGAGACTAGTTAGGAGGCTGTTGATATTGTTTAGGTGAGAAGTGAAGAGACTCTAGACCAGAGGTCTCAAACCCAGGTGGCCTTCAGGGGCCAGGTACCAAAAATGAGCGACATAGGTTGATGTTAAAAAAAAAAAGCAAATTGTTCTCTTGGTCCATCTTTTATTTTTTCCTGAATACTTGGGTAAAGCAGAGCAATCAATCTTGATTTGAAGGCCAGATTGCCTGGGTTCAGTTCTGCCTTTAGCATTTACTAGCTGTGTGACTTGGGACAAATAACTTAACCTCTCGGTGATCCAATGTTCTCTTCAGCAGAATATGCATGAAGAAGTTCTTGTGAAGATTAAATGAATTAATGTACATATAACATTGCTGATACAAAAATACTTTTCTTTTTTTTGAGACCAAGTTTCACTCTTGTTGCCCAGGCTGGAGTGCAATGGCGTGATCTTGGCTCACCACAACCTCTGCCTCCCAGATTCAAGTGATTCTCCTGCCTCAGCCTCTCTAGTAGCTGGGATTACAAGCACGTGCCACCACGCCTGGCTAATTTTGTATTTTTAGTAGAGACAGGGTTTCTCCATGTTGGTCAGGCTGGTCTTGAACTCCTGACCTCAGGTGATCCACCCACCTTGGCCTCCCTCAAAATATCTTAATCTTAAAAAGTCACTGCTACTTTTTAAAAAACATAGTTTTTTTGTGTGTGCTAAACAAAACATAAGTGTCAGGATCTCCTTATGTGCCTCCAGTTCTCTATCTTTAAGATAAAAGCAATAGGTATGACGAAGGTAGAGTTTGAAGGAGTTTTAGGAGACAGCACTGATTGGAGCAGGCAAGTGGTTGGATGTGAGGGGAAGGTGGTCACTGGGGAAAGGCCTATGGTGTTGCAGGTGCCTGGAGAGATGCTCCATTTACCCCTCCCGTCATTGCAAAATCTCCTTCCTCTGCTACTCCCTTCTGCTGCCAGCGCCAGTGTTCTGCTTGCCCCTGGGAGAACCATGTGCAAGCTCTGGGGCTGAGGTGGGACCTTGAAGCTGGGCTCTCTCTCTCCTCTTCTTATTTAAGAGCAAGGCTTTTAGAGTTAAAAAAAAAAAAGAAGACATGGATATAACATTAATAACCACACAGACACCTTGGAAAAGCAAACCATGTCTAGTCCCTCCTGTACTGAAAACTTTCCAGATACTTCCTCTTGCACCTGGAGTAACCTTGAAGTCTTACTTGCTCTGCAAAGGTCCTGCATGCTCTGGCCTCTGCCTCCCTCCCCAGCTTGAGGTCTTCAGGTGTCAGTTCAAACATCAGACCTGAGAGAGGCTTTCCTTGATCGCCCTTGCTAATTTAGCTCCATGCCCACCCACAGTCTCTCTATCCCAGCATCCTGTTTTATTCTCTTCTGAGCACGTTTTATATGCAATTGCCTTGCTAGTTACAACTTTCTTTTCTATTTTGTTTATTTTTAGAGGCAAGTTGTTACTCTGTTGCCCAGGCTGGAGTGCAGTGGCACAATCATAGTTGGCTGCAATCTTGAAATCCCGGACTCAAGTGATCCTCCCATTTCAGCCTCCCAAGTAGCTAGGACTACAGGCATGTGCCACCATCAATGGCTAATTTTTAGAAAATTTTTTGTAGAGATGGGGTCTCACTATGTTGCCCAGGCTGGTCTCAAATTCCTGGCCTCAAGCCATCCTCGTGCCTTGGCCTCCCCAGCTATTGGAATTACAGGCATGAGACACTGCACCCAGCCTATGGATTTATTTATCATTTGTCTCTTCTAAAATGTAAGCTTGGGAAGGGCAGGTACTCAAATAACTGTTTTGGACACACAGTTGGTGCTCAGTAAGTATGTGTTAAATGAAAGAAGATTCAAGAAATCCATAAGTAGCCAGGAAGCTGAGATGGGAAAGTTGTTTGAGCCCAGGAGTTTGGGGCTGCAGTGAGCCATGATCATGCCACTGCATTCCAGCCTGGGCAACAGAGTGAGGCCCTGTCTCTAAAAAATTTAAAAAAAGAAAGAAATCTATAAGTATCACTTAACTGTTGATGGTCTATCTTAGTTTCTTCCCATCTCAGACAATACTTCCTCTGTTCAGAAAATAGCCTTTTGGGTCTTCGACACTTTCCCAGTCCCCTGTCGACAAGCAGGGGTGTTGGGGACTTTTCTCACTGGCAGTCATTACTTTGAACCCTGACCACCCATCACACCCCAGTGCGTGTTGCTCCGCTCCCTGTGTCCATGAGTTCTCATTGTTCAACACCCACCTGTAAGTGAGAACATGTGGTGTTTGATTTTCTGTTCTTGTGTCAGTTTGCTGAGAATGATGGCTTCCAGATTCATCCATGTCCCTACAAAGGACACGAACTCACCGTTTTTTATGGCTCATAGTATTCCATGGTGTATATGTGCCACATTTTCCTTGTCCAGTCTATTGTCAATGGGCATTTGGGTTGGTTCCAGGTCTTTGCTATTGTAAACAGTGCTGCTATGAACATATATGTACATGTGTCTTTATAATAGAATGATTTATAATCCTTTGGGTATATACCCAGTAATGGGATTGTTGGGTCAAATGGAATTTCTATTTCTAGATCCTTGAGAAAGTGCCACTCTCTCTTTTACAATGATTGAACTAGCTTACACTCCCACCAACAGTGTAAAAGTGTTCCTATTTCTCCACATCCTCTCCAGCATCTGTTGTCTCCAGATTTTTAAATGATCACCATTCTAACTGGGGTGAGGTGGTATCTCAATGTGGTTTTGATTTGCATTTCTCTAATAATCAGTGATGATGAGCATTTTTTCCTATGTTTGTTGGCCTCACATATGTCTTCTTTTGAAAAGTGTCTGTTCATATCCTTCTCCCACTTTTGGATGGGGTTGTTTGTTTTTTTTCTTGTAAATCTGTTTTAGCTCTTTGTAGATTCTGGATAATAGCCCTTTGCCAGATGGGTGGATTGCAAAAATTTTTTCCCATTCTGTTGGTTGCCGGTTTACTCTAATGATTGTTTCTTTTGCTGTATGGAAGCTCTGGAGTTTAATTAACTTTTGTACTTCTGCTTACTTCCATCTTTGACCATCAGGGCCTCACACAGATTCTTGGTCTGCCTTGACTTCCTTTTTCGCCTCCTTGAATCTATGCTACACCCAATCTTTGTCACTCAGCTCAGCCTTGGCTGCCCAGGCATTCCACACAGTGTGAGAGAGAACACTGGCCAAACAGAGAGGTTCAGCTGGACACCACTGAGGGGACACCGCAGATGAGGAGAGAGCAGAAAGATGTCCCATGCATTGGAGTCAAGAATGTTGTGGTGGGCCGTTCCTTGTCTTAATCTCTCTTCTTTCTACCTTCTCCATCTTTCTGTATGAATTCTTCTGGATCCTTCTCTTGCTTTTTCTATCTCCTTTTACTATACAAGCTCAAGCCAGAAAGTTCTGAAAATGAATTTTTTATATGACTTATGGAATCCAGTCATGATTCTATCTAGTTGAGGTCCACAGCACTCCACCCAAAATATTGTGCAAAATTGTGTATATGTGTGTGTTTGAATTTTTGAAGGCGCATAGATTTCAGTGAATTTTCCTTCTTTTTCTCCCCTCCCCCTCTCCTCTCCCTCCCCTCCCCTCCCTCTCCCTTCTCTTCTTCTCTTCTTTTCTCCTTTCGAGACAAGGTCTTGTACTGTTGCCCAGGCTAGAGTAAAGTAGCAAATCACAGCTCATGGCAGCCTCTACCTCCTAGGCTCAAGTGATCCTCCCATCTCAGTTTCCTGAGTAGCTGGAACCACAGGCACATGCCTTCATGCCTGGCTAATTTTTAGGGTTAAAAAAAATTTTTTTTGTTTTGTTTTTTGGAGAGATGGGGTTTCACCCTGTTACCCAAGCTGATCTCATACTCCTGAGCTCAAGTGATCTGCCCACCTCCACCTCCCAAAGTTCTGGGATTATAGACGTAAGCCACCATGCCTGGCCTAAGTGGATTTTTTTCTAAAGGACTTGTTTCCCTCAAATTTTGAGCCACTGAAAAGGCTTTCTCAGAGTGAAGATCACAGCGTGATACAACTTCCATTTATAAAATGCTCAGAAAAGACAAATCAGCAGAGACAGAAAGCAGGTTTGTGGTTGCCTGTGGGTTCTGGGTAAGAAGGGCACAAGGTTTTCTTTTGAGTGGATGGAAATGTTCTGAAATTGGATTGTGGTGATGGTTACATAACTCTAAGTTTACTAAAAATCACTGAATTGCACATTTAAAATAAGCAAATTTTATGGTATGTAAATGTTTAACAAAGTAAGACATCAAATTTCAAAGACTTAGTGTAAAAGAGGATATAAAATATCTCATTAATAGTTTTTACATTGGTTACACATTGAATTGATAATGTTCAGTATAAATTGAGCTAAATAAAAAAAATATTTTTCGAGTCTCTCTCTGTGGCCCCAGCTGGAGTGCAGTGGCACGATCTCAGCTCACTGCAAACTTCACTTGCCAAGTTCAAGAGATTCTCCTGCCTCAGCCTCCCAAGTAGCTGGGATTACAGGCATGCGCCACCACATGCAGCTAATTTTTGTATTTTCAGTAGAGACGGGGTTTCACTGTGTTGGCCAGGCTGGTCTCAAACTCCTGACCTCAAAGATCTGCCTGCCTCAGCCTCCCAAAGTGCTGGGATTATAGACATGAGCCACCATGCCTGGCCTAAATAAAAATATTTTTAAAATTATAAAAGGGCAGTTGATGACCACAGGCTGTCTCCCTAGGAGAAATGGCTCAGGGCAATGCAGATTATAGAGTGTATTTCTGATCTCCACTGGGAAAAACAAAGAGGTCCAAGGAAATTGAACAAGGATGGGGGATCCTGTGCCACTTTTAAATGAGTGGCGGTGAACTTGATGCAGGAGAGTTTCTTGATGTCTGGCTTAAAGGCAAAGGGTCAGGGTGGATGAGTCAGATCTCAGGTAGGACTTACTTATATGCAGAGCTTCTTCATCTGGCTTGGTTGAAGATGACTCATTGTCCTCAATGTCCTTGCTGCTGGTCACCTGGTTGTTCACACTCGGGGGCTCATCTGAGCCAGGGTTCACAGAGAGCATGCTGCTCTGGGGAGAGGACCCCCCACTGGTCCGACTCAGACTGAGCGTGGAGCTTCGCCGGCTTGGTTTTCGGCTGGTGACCCGCATCGCAGGAGTTTTGAATTTTTTGGTCTAAAGGAAAGAGAAGAAAGAGAGGTTTGAGGAAGGGGAGGCGGGGAAGATGGAAGAAAGACAGAAAGAAAAGGAGGGAAGAAGGGAGGTAGGAAGGGACAGCAGACAAAAGCAAAGCCTGGGTCTAACTGTGAATTCCTTCTGGCTCTTTCCAAACACCATGAGACATATTCTGGATCTGGAGTGACCTTTTGTCACAAATCGAGATAATTGAAAAATGTGTATTATTTGAAGCAAATGTGACAGAGTGTATTCTATTGAATGAGTGCATAGTTGCCCAAGAAATCACCATAGGAAGCCAAACGTGCTTTCCATGATATTGTCAAGGCCCAGAACACGTGTTTTTTTAAATTATATTTTAAGTTCTGGGGTATATGTGCAGAACGTGCAGGTTTGTTACATAGGTATACATGTGCCATGGTGGTTTGCTGCATCCATCACCCCATCACCTGCTATCCCTCCCCTAGCCCCTTCCTTCCGCCTCAACAGGCCCCAGTGTGTGATGTTCCCCTTCCTGTGTTCATGTGTTCTCATTGTTCAACACCCACTTATGAGTGAGAACATGTGGTATTTGGTTTTCTCTTCTTGTGTCAGTTTGCTGAGAATGATAGTTTCCAGCACTTTTCTTTCGTAATAACTATTGGAGCTGATTTTCAACCTTTGTATGAGGATTGGTCTAATTTTTAGCCATATCTTGGTTTTGGCTCCAAGTTGCATATATAAACTTCCCAGTCCCCCAATTGACACCTGGGCCTCAAATAATCATTTGTAATTATGAAGGTTTTCTAAAGAACACAGGATAGGGAAAATTCTAGGCCTGACATTTAGGAAGTGAAATGGGAGGAAGCAGATATGTCTGGCGCAGTGGCATTCTTGGGGGAGAAGCCATGATTATGTGGACTAGGAGAATTGGATGAGAAGTCTGGAAGGGATTGAGAGGTACATAGGGAAAGTCCTGTGGGTTTTTGGAAGGAAAGGAGTAAGAGAGAACACACACATACTATGTGTGTGCGTATGTGTGTGTACCTTCCTGCAAGATTGGTGTCACTTCAGAATACACTGTTTGGAGTTATATCTTCATGTAACTCATGATCCAAATTTCATGGAGCCTTCCCAACCTCCTCAAGGTCACAGCAAGAAAATAGCAGAACCAGAATCCAGACCCAAATCGGGTTAATGCCAAAGTTCATTACTATGCTTGGCTTCAAAATACTTCAAAAGGTTTTTTTTTTCCAGTGGCATTGAAAATGTCCTTCATCTCATGCTAATGATTCCTTATGATATTTAAAATGCCAGGTTTACATAGGGGGAAATGGGCCCTCAGCTTCTCTAGAGAAAGAGCTCAACACAGAGTGGGCTATAGTTTATATTCACTTAATAGTACTAATTTTATTTGAGCACATTTACACTGGAAGCTCTTGATGGGTAGACTGGTGTCTTCTTTAGATGAAACTCATAGCATTTGATACCCTAGGAAAGGAGACAGGGAGAAGAGACAGCACTAAAGACCACACCAAGATTTAATATGCATTGTACAAGGTGGAGAGAATTGTATTCAGCAGAATTCATTTCAGGGAGTCCACTGTATGTGATCAGAAGCAATATTTTGAATGGCTACCTTGTAAGGCCCCGATTATGGGTGGAACCTTCTTGTACTAGAAGAGAGGAGGATTTCTTGGTGGCACAGGGGAAGGAGAAGGTTGGGGAAGAGAAGAGAGAGGTGTGGGCCTTAAGATGTGACCTCAGCTGGATGTGGTGGCTCACGCCTGTAATCCTAGCATTTTGGGAGGCTGAGGTGTGCAGATTGCCTGAGCTCAGGAGTTCGAGACCAGCCTGGGCAACACGGTGAAACCCCATCTCTACTGAAATAGAAAAGAAATTAGGTGGGCATGGTGGTGGGTGCATGTAGCCCCAGATACTCAGGAGGCTGAGGTAGGAGAATTGTTTGAACCCAGGAGGCAGAGGTTGCAGTGAGCCGAGATCGTGACATTGCACTCCAGCCTAGGCAACAGAGCAAGACTCCATCTCTCCAGAAAACAAAACAAAACAAAACAAAAACACCAAAAACCAACCAAAAAAACACAACCCCAAAAAGGTGTGATCTCTCCCTGTGCCTGCCTCATCATTCTCAAATCTTCAGTGAAATTCTATACAAATGACAGAATGCTCTAGAATATGATAGACTGGAGAACTGGATTTAACCAGATCTTCCAGAGGCCATGCAAGTTACAAAATGACTGATCAAGAAAAGCCAAGTGCCCAAAGCAGGCTTGTCCTGTCCTTTGATAAATTAGGAGCTTGGTACAATGCTCCCATTGTCCTGATGCTACAGGACAAGAGCTTGCCAGACTGACAGAAGGCCCTTCTACTCTGTCACTGTGGGGAGAGATGATGTCAGAGCTCAGGGATGAAACATGTAGAAGGTGCCTCTTTCCATTTGATCTAGAACAATGTGAATTCCTGACTCTAGAACCAGACTCTTCAGATCAATGTAATTTTTTTATTTTTATTTTTGAGACAGGGTCTCACTCTGTCGCCCAGGCTGGAGTACAGTGGCATGATATTGGCTCACTGCAACCTCTGCTTCCCAGGTTCAAGTGATTCTCCTGCCTCAGCCTCCCGAGTAGTTGGGATTACAGGCACCCACCACCACACCTGGCTAATTTTCTTTTTTTTGGATTTTTGGTAGAGATGGGGTTTCACCATGTTGCCCAGGCTGGTCTTGAACTCCTCAGCTCTAGCAGTCTGCCCACCTTGGTCTCCCAAACTGCTGGGATTATAGGTGTGAGCCACTGTGCCTGGTAAGATCAATGTAATTTTTGAAGTCTGGACAGATTGTGGCATGGGGCAGCCTGGAATCTTGCAGTAAGCACTGGAGTCAGAGCCAAGGGACCTCAGGGGTCCCTGAGTAAGTCAGTCTGCCCCCCCTCATTTATAAGTTTCCTCATTTATAAGACAAAGAGAATAACCTGGGGTGATCTCACAAGAGCCTTCCATATCCAGGCTTCTACGTGTATCTTCCTTGAGCTAGGATTTCATCTTATGCTCCCAAAGTTGCCATTAATTAAAATTTAATTAACCATCCTAGCTAGGAAATCCAAAGTGAAGGGCTGACACTTGTGATTAATTGAAAGTGGCAGAAAAAATAAAATGTAGGGGAAGATGTGACAGGCACTTGCTTGCCTTTTATTGAACCAAAACTCTCCGAATTGACTTAAATCCCTAAATGCTTCTTCTCTATTTTTTATATTTCACTCAGCAGTAGTGTTAACCAGTTGCTACGTTCCATCGCAGTAGGGATTGATTTTTGGCAATGGAGGAAAAGAATTTGCTGAAAGCTTCCTTACATTTCTATGAAGTAGGAGTTGCAGACTGGTGGCCCATGGGGAGACATGTTTAGCTACCCAGAATTTTACAAATTGGGAGGCCTTTATATAAATATGTAAGTTTTTGGTTTCTCTTAGAAATAATAAGCTCGGGGCTCTCATTCTCCCAAGGCAAAATGAGCTAAAGCTGCAGAGAGATTCTTTTTTTTTTTTTTTTTGAGACGGAGTTTCACTCATGTTACTGAGGCTGGAGTGCAATGGCGCGATCTCGGCTCACCGCAACCTCCGCCTCCTGGGTTCAGGCAATTCTCCTGCCTCAGCCTCCTGAGTAGCTGGGATTACAGGCATGTGCCACCATGCCCAGCTAATTTTTTGTGTTTTTAGTAGAGACGGGGTTTCACCATGTTGACCAGGATGGTCTCGATCTCTTGACCTCGTGATCCACCCGCCTCGGCCTCCCAAAGTGCTGGGATTACAGCCTGGAGCCACCGTGCCCGGCCGCACAGAGATTCTTCACTTTAGCTGTGCAGGACTTCTCCAGTTTGCCACAGACCCTACCACTCCCTACTGTCACATTCAGCCTGGCTTTTTATTTCATTAATAACACAGTTTGCCTGGCCCCTACGAACACTGCCTATACATACAGAGGAGCATCAGGGGCTGTGTGAGCTGGTTGGATTCCCTCTTTCAAGGTCCTCATTTTATAGGTAGAGAAACTGAGGCCCAGGAGAGGGGAAAGGACTTGTCCAAGGTCACACAGTGAACTGAGTCACCATGTCTGAGCCAGGTCTCCTGCATCCCAATTTAGTGCTCCCTTATACCCAGAGTGGAACGTGCTGCAGCCCAGGGTTTGACCCACCAACTTGCTGGTGAATTCAGTTTTGCAAAAGTCCAAGCACAGCTATTAATTCTCCCCCTCCCCTCCTCCAATTTTAGTAGTGAATATCTCTGAAGGATTTTTTTTTTCCCCAAAGATTTGTGGCTCCCGCTGCTTTTTCTGTACATCTCTGAAGACGGATGCACACTGTATCTCCATAGCAACTTTCTGCCATAAAAACCAAGGCTCTTACTTCTTAAGCCTAGGAGCACCCTGATGAAAGAGTAAGAAAATGGTGAAATTCTTCATGAGGGGCAACTATAATTATGAGGTCAGGGAGAACAGGCATTGGATGTTCATATGTTTAATCAACAGATTTATGTTTATATGTTTAATAAACTATGTTTAATAAACAGACCCAGAATTAACTTCTGGCTCTGCCATTACCCAGCTGGGCAACCTCATGGAAGTCACTTAACCTCTCTGAGCCCACAAATTCCTTCTCTCTCACCTGGGGGTAAGAACAGTGCCCCACAGGGTTATTAAGAGGACATAACTGGATATACCTACGGAAGCTTCCTTAGCACAGAACCTAGCCCATTTACAATTATGTTGAGCAGTGGCCTCTAAAATTTACATAGCCACAGTACTGCTAAGCATTCTCACATTTTTAAAGTAAGTTTGCTTTCTATTTATTTCCTGGCTTTCTTCACTAAAGTTGTGAGGTAGGCAGGAAAGTGCATTATATCCATTTTATGGGTTAGGGGACAGGTTCAGCAGACACTCTAGTTGTGTGCTCTATTACCTTTACCTATCTCAAGATTACCTCCTGCCGTTATTATTGTTATTTGTTAGGCTTGTTTATTGAGCAGATGAGTTTGGGAGGTCCTGGGTTAGGAATAACTTTGGGTAAACACAATCTGTATCTTGGTGTCCTCTTAAATGCATGTTCCGGTTTGTAGAAAATCTCGTCTGTTGAATCACTCACTTTTTATTTTCCTTTTCTCAGAGACAGGATCTCACTCTGTTGCTCAGGTGGGAGGCTGGAGTGCAGTGGTGGGATTATAGCTCACTGCAGCTTCCAATTACTCGGCTTAAAATGATCCTCCCAATTCAGCCTCCCTAAAACCTGGGACTACATGTGCACACCACTATGCCCAGCTAATTTTTAATTTTTTTGTAGAGACAAGGTCTTGCTGTGTTGCCCAGGCCAGTCTCAAACTCCTGGGCTCAAACGATCCCCCTGCCTTGGCCTCCCAATCCCTTGGGATTACAAGCATGAGCTACTGTGCCTGGCTTCTATTTTCTGACTAGGTTAAAGAGGAGAGAGAGACAGAGAGAGACGGAGGGAGGGAGAGGGAGAGAGAAATGCCTGTTATTGATTTAGAAGATAGAGTGAGGTGAGTCCATTTCCTTCTGGTGACATCCTGTTAAGCAGCTGCTTAGCAAGCCCCTCCCGTCCCCATTATGTGGCATCCAGCCAAATGTCATTTCTCCTATAATCCCCAGATAACTGTTTTAATTAAAATTTACAAAGAACCATCCAACAGCATGTGGCTCTGACTTCCCTTCACTCCAAGAACTAACTAGAAAAAAGAAATCCCATTAGAGAAAAGACGGCAAAAATATTCCTCAACGCAAACTGGGGCCTCAGAGCCAAAGGGTTGAGTCGCATGTGGTTGGTTACCTTTGGTGCAGTGACGAAATGCTCCCACTTCTGTCCCATGGACTTGTCCTTATTGATTTTTTTAATGGTGCTCTTGCTTCCCCCTGGGTCCCTGAGTGAGAAACAGCTTAATGAGTTTCCCGTTTCCAGAGCCTCGGTTTATTACAAGTTCTTTTAAGAAATGCAATAAATGGAGAAATAGTGGCTGGGCTCTGTTAGGATTTCCACCCCGACTCCTGTACTTGTGAAGACATGGGAGGGGTAGTTCTCCATAGCTGGCTCTTTTGAGTGAAATCAAGGTTTGGAGAGACTTTTGCTTACTGGGTGGAGGAGGGAGGTGGTATATATTTGCATATTTTTTGCATCTATTTTCATTTTAGACCTGGTCCTCTCATAGAATCCTGGGCAGGTCTGCGATTACTCCTGGGGGGTGAATTGAAAAGCATGTTCATTTCTGAATCTTTGCTTTTTCTGTTGCCCAAGGGGTCCACTATCAGGGACATTTCTGAGAGAGACACACAGAGAATATTACTGGGTGGGGTTGGGGGCGGGGCTGATGGGGGTGGGTTACACAGTGAAAATCACTGATTGGAGGTTGATCGGGCAAAATTTCTCTACAACACTGTGGGCAAAACCCTACTGTGCCTTCTCACTGAGACATCTCGATCACTATAACCTTGTGATGTAGTCATTGTCATCCCCTTTTCAGATGGGAGAACAAAGGAAGTTTAAGTCATTTACAGTGAAACAAATGAAGCTAAAGCTTCAGGGCTCCTCACTTATGTGGGTCCTCTTCCAGGACCCTGTACCTAATTTGATATTGTAATTTTGTATTTTTTTTTGTAAAGTGCCCTCTGCCTAGTTACATAAGCTTCAGGCTCTACAAACTCTGGATCTTCCTCTCATGGGTTGGGAATTTTCTGGAAAGGAGACTGAAGCCCAGTAGGTTCTGTGGGTGACACAGCCATAATCCCTTATCTGAAATCTGTGGGACCAGATGTGTTGCCAAATTAACAATTTTGGCATTTTGGAAAGGAAACATGCTGCGTATACTATATGTTAACATAATCCTTCTGCGGGAGCTAAAGGGACAGCATCTTATAACCAAACACATGAATATTTCTGCAATGAAACACACTGTTATTTACACTAGGTGGGAGAAAAAAGACCAGAAGTAGTTTTAAGTCAAACTTTGCTACCAACTTAGATTCGTTCATGTCAGATTTTGCTGCCAAATGACTTATGAAAAAACTGAGTTTTCAGAGCTTTTGGATTTTGGACTTGTGGCTATGGGGCAGTGGGTTTCTATTGATAAGAGAGCAGGCAGTCTCAGTGTGTAATCTCTCAACTACCTTTACATATCTATTGGTCGACTGACTAGTCTGTCAGTCTCTCTGTCCATATATCTTTCCTTCCATTCATCCATCTACCTATCTCTTTCTTTATCCCCTTTTTCTTTGCAGAAAGAATTTTAGATCTTGAGGTTCCTTTTAACTATTTGGGTAGCTCTCACCTAGCAGAGAGCAGGAACTTGAAATGAGAAGACGAGCCAGGTGTGGTGGCTCACACCTGTAATCCCAGCACTTTGGGAGGCTGAGGTGGGCAGATCACCTGAGGTCCGGAGTCGAGATCAGCCTGGCCAACATGGTGAAACCCCTTCTCTACTAAAAATACAAAAATTAGTCAGGCATGATGGCACATGCCTGTAATCCCAGATGCTCTGGAGGCTGAGGCAGGAGAATAGCTTGAACCCAAGAGGCAGAGGTTGCAGTGAGTCAAGATCCCACCATTGCACTCCAGCATGGGCGACAAGAGTGAAACTCTGTCTCGAAAAAAGAAAAGAGGATGAATAGAACTGCTTTGGTTTGGGGAGACATTGACAAGGGTCTAGGCTTGTTAGGGGCTGCTGCGTGCTGGTGGTTGTGGGTAGAAGGGAGGTGCTCTGATATAGAAGGCAAAGGTGATCAAGATAAACCTAACAAGGCTGACTTCTCATGGCATGGAGATCTGAGCAGCAGAATCAAAGGCTTTTCCCAGCTGGGGGTGTCTTCTCTTCACCAGTGGGACTTTGCTGAAGATCTGCCAGTGAACAGCCACCACACAAGAAATGCACGCAGACCCAAAGTGGAAGTCGGGCTGGGGAGGTGGGGTGAGAATGTGCCTCTAAGCTTTTTGTAAGACTTTATGTTTGATTACACAATAAAAAGCCCTCTGAATAATTAACAGTGAAGCTCATTTAAGCTGGTTCTGCCTGCCTCTCCCCCGAGTAATCAAATTAGGGGATATTTAAAATCCAGCCAGAGGAAGGAGCAATACTTCAGTCCTATAAACAATATTTAAACTAGCAGTGCTTTTGAAGTCTGATTTAAGGTTCACCCACTGGAAGCTTTAGCGTTATTTTTTTCACTTTGGAGCGTTTCTTTCAAGACCACAGGGCTTTTCGCATTTTCCTTTGCTAAAGCAGCCCCTGCTGAGCCTCCAGCCTTCTTCTTGAAGTTCAAAAGCAACCCCCTTTCCACTTTTAAAATTAAATCTGGTCCCAGCAAAGCTTTCCAAATCTTAAATATTCAGGTCCAATCGGGAAGATGGAAGTTTTTCACTAATGCTGACTTCCAAGACGACCTGAAATCCATTGCAACTTCAAGGAGCAGGCTAAATGAGTTAAAAATGCAGCAAGATTCCCACAGACCTGAAAAAGCCTGGAGCCCTTGCTCTTGCAAACCCATTGATAAAGAAAAGGCCTGGTTAGACGGAATTGGTCTTTCTGATGTTTCATTTTTAGTAGCGAATAACCCAAAAAGGAAGATCAATAGGGGGAGAAAGAAAAAAAATAAAACCACCTAAGCTGCCTCGTCCCTTGCATACCTTGCGGAGAAGGCAAAGAGAGTTGGTGGTCCTTCCGCCTGGCCTGGTGGGGTAAGCATTAGTGCCATCCACCAAATAGTTCCAGGTCTTCTCTGCTCTCTGAAGGCAAGTGTAGTACTGTGGCATGCTTTGTTCAAAAATACATGAGTGAAAGTGACATGCGGGACTTTGGGTAGATGCTTTAAGAGCTAGTCCTAAAGCCATCAGATTCCTTTTTCTGCCTCGTTGATGGTAGAAGCTTCTATCAGCGTGAGTCCCTGGGTGACTATAATGAGCAGAGCCTCCCTGATAGACTTGAAAGGTGAGCCAAGGAATGAGCTTCTTTTACCTTAAACTGCTGAGATCTGGGGGTTGTTCATTAGGGCAGCCTAACTTACTTAGCTCACCCATTTGATATCCTTGTGATTTACTGACTGTGTGACCTCGGACAAGTCTCTGAGTATCAGGACCAGAAAAGTGTTATCTTAGTGGTTAAGCATGAATTTAAGAATAGGTTGGACCAGCTGTTCTTGTCCTCTGTCTGCTCCACTGTTTCTTACATGTGTGATTTTGTATAAGTGGTTTAGCCTCTCTGAGCCTCACTGTCTTCATCTGTAAAATGGGTGGATAATAGCAGCTATGACAAAGAATTGCCGTGAAGATGAAAAGAAATGGGGCTTACTAAAGGCTTCATGGCTCCTGTGTCTAGAGATCTAAATACAGTTCAGCTATTTACAACAATAACCTCTTTTCAACAGAGATTTACTGTGGCTTAGAGGAGCCGCTGATGGTCGACAACAAGGCACTAGGGCAGATCCTTGGGGGAGATGTTGCTATAATTTTCAGACCATAATTTCCCCCTGCTGAAGCCTCCTAGGGGATCCAATTTGCCCGAAATCAAGGGACAAGGGTGTTGAGTACTGTCAAATCTTTTTTAACTGTGTCCGCCAAGCACATTTTGTTCCAGGCAGTCACTTGAAGATGTCTATCCACAGTGGCAATTCAGAGCAATTTTCTCAAATACTTCGTGCTCTCTTTCTCAACTCCCATCTGGGGTAAAACATCTGCTTCCCAGGGCGGAAAGCTGTTGGCTAGGCTAGGACGTGCACATGTGTCCATGACCGAGGGGAATAGCTGCTGATTCTGTATCAGGGAGAGGGTAGAGGTCACAGCTCTGGGGACTTTCCGGACCAGGTGGCTCCATCCTGCCTCCTGAGTGAAGATCTGATCCTCCTGTCACGTTCTCCTACTCCATAGAGATGTCCACTGGAGAACCACAGTGGAGGAGCCATGTGATTAAATCAGTGCAAAGAGGAGAGCAGGGGAAATCAGAGACATCACTCACATGTCACCTTCTGAGTGAGTCTTTCCTTGACGATCCAATTTAAAACTCCCCTGCCCACCACTATCACATCACCCATCGATTTCTTCATGACACTTATTCCTGTCTCAAAGTATCTTGATTATTACACATTTATCACCTGTTGCTTCCCTCACCCCCTCTAGAATGGAAGCTCCTGAGAACAGGGGTATTGTCTGTTTTCTTCATGGCAGTATTCCCACTAGTGCCTGGAAAAGGCAGATGTGCAGAAAATGAGATTTTCTTGGTTGTGGGGGAGGAGTACTACATGACAAGGGGAAACTAATTTAAATATAAACAATTTAAATTTAAGAAATGCTATTATGTGTGTTGTTCAGAAGGACTGCAACAGTATTTCATGAAAGCAAAAACTTGGAAAAGACTTAAAGGTCTTGGAATATTGGTTAAATATGTTTCAGTACATTCATATGCTGATAAACTCCACAGCAGAGGTTCAGATTTGGAGAGGTGCTTCTTATGTACTAAGGCAAACAGCAAAAATTTAGTTTTGAAACAGTATGTGCAAAATGGCACTTGAAATTATTTTGTAAGAGAAAATTGCATTTTACATGTCATAACATCTTGATAAGTCAAGTCCCTTTTGTCTCCTGGGGCCTCCCAGAAAGTACCACATTGTAATAAGATCTTCTTTTCTTGGAGTTGGGGGCGCCAGATTATTCTCTAAATTAATCAAAGACTTTGGGCTTTAGCTACAGAGGAACAACCATTTGGGGGTGAAGCACCCATACTTTGCAGCAAGGTTACCTGGGTTCAAATCCTGACTTACCTTTTGCTAGCTATGCATCTGTGAGCAAATTAATTTTCCATGCCTCAGTTTCCTTATTGGTAAATTGGAATGAGGTTTAAATGAAGTAATACACCCAGAGCAGTGCTTGACATAGAAAGCA